AGTTCCTCAGCCAGCAAAGCAAAGCTGGCTGAGGAACTCTGGGAGTTGAAGTCCACAGGTCTTAAAGTTGCCAAGGTTGGAGACCACTGCCTTAAATGACCACAGTCAGTTGCTTAATGACCATTGTAAAAATAGTTGTAAAATCAAGTCCAGTCACACAGTGATTCAACTTACAACCACAACTTACAACCAAAATTCCAAGGCTGCATTGTGGTCCTAAGTCAAGGACTGCCTATATTGGCAACCTGCTTCCTTGCCTTATTGGCCCATCATGCTTTTTAAATTGAGGCTGAACTCTGCATACTGGGATTCATTTTGTCTATATGTGTGGGGTGGAGACACTTCCTGCTTCTTTTATAACCTTTGCTAACTTGATTACTGATTTATTTAGTTCACAAGTTTTATAGCTCATCCCCATCTACCATCTCTGAGCAGAGTATGAGAGTGTAAAACTACAGATTAAGAACAAAAGGGAAAAAAAGACATTAAATGCCTGTCACTCTATGTCTCCCTCACATCATAATATTTTTACTGCACAGTCAGATTAGCCTTGGCAAGGCAAAGCTTCATGTAAGCTGATATTATGCCCTCCAGGATTTCATAGATCTGCGCTGTGAATTGGTCCCAAACACCTTCTTGTAATTATTGCAACAACTTTAGTAGTGGAGTTCATCTAAATGCGATAGGATTATCTCATCAACAGTCTAATCGTAATATTTTGAATGAGGTTCTGGATCATATTTAAAGATAGTCCCAAGAAGAGTGTGTTACAATAATCTGACTGAGCAAAAGATCAAAATATGTATTATTGTGGTTGAAGTATCCTAGTCTAGGAGGATAATTGGCACACCAGCCAAGATAGGGCAAGCAACACAAACACATTCACAAAGCTTGTATCTGCAGTTTAAGCTGTAGCCACAAATCCAGGAGGACCTCCAAATCACAAACAACTGCCTTCAAGACATTGTCATCTCATTCAAAAGAAAGTAGCAGGGCTGGAGTTCACAAATGCTGGACAAAAAGCAACTAGGTTTTGCAATAATTCAGTCTAAGCTTATTTTTCCTTATCCAGATCCTGACAACCTCCAGGCATGCTTTCAACAGAATCCCTAATCTGACTTGGGGTAACAATGTACAACTGGATGTCATCTGCTCACACCAAACTGTCAGATGACTTCTCCTATGGCATCATAGAAGCTTTAATTAATAGAGCAAATAGCACTGAACCTCGAGGTACTCTGGATTGCAGTGCTGGCCATCCCTTTGATTACAGACTTAAATCACCCACACAAACAAGAGCAGAATCACTGGAGCTCAGTGCCTGTGATTCCCCCCAGTGTTGGAGGCAGTCCAGCAAGATTCTACAGTAGCCCCAAAGGTCTAACAAAAGTCCTTCATCAAGGGCAAAGAATGTGGTTTCCATCCATTCCTTCTGAATCCTCACTAGCAGCAATCTGAGACAGTCCATTTCTTCTAGCTGGGTCATCATCACCTTTTCAATAACCTTTCCTAAAATGGGAAGTTTGGAGAACGTTCACACAAGTGAACATGAGCCTAGGAATTTTATAAAGATTTTTTTTTAACTTGCTGTTCCCCTCAAAGTGGTTGTGTAACAGAGAAGACACTTATAAACAATTTCACACACAAATATATACACAGTCCCCATCATAATTCCAGAAGAAACAACAAAAATAATAATAATTTAAAAAAAAAGAATGGCAATGCAATAAGGGTATACTGCCCTGGGGAGGAGAGGAAATATAATTGGTTGAATATAAGGAAAGGGGAAAATGACAATCCTCATTAATCAAATACTTGTTAGAAGGGGGGAAATGTCTATATGTCTATTTCTAATGTCTATTTCTATAAGAGAAATATAGTTGTTTATCTGAAAGAAAGAGGATCCCTAAAGATGATCCTAAAAGAGAGGAATTTGTATTATTATTATTTTTCCACCTGTCTATTCTTCCTAGGGAGGGGATGTCTTAACTTTAGGACCATCAGGAAATTCAGGTAGAGAGAAAAAAAAATATTTTATCTCAAATGAATAGAAAGAGTCTGGGTGGCCAGGGTTTGGTAGCAATGAACTCAAGATTTCTTACCCTTCAATACGTGTTGGATACATAGACCCAAAAGATGTCTGGCTCTCATACTGCAGAGGGAAGAAACAGTAAAGCACAGTTGTAAAGTCTGGATGGAAGAGAAATATCACTGTCATCATTATGTAAGGAAACATTAATCAATAGTATGAGTGTTAGTGCCTAACATGAAAGCTCAGAGAACTGCTTATCTCAGGCAAAGTTTTGTAAGACTTTGTTAATTTCAAAAGTAGAAGGACAGGTAAACCCAGGGGTGCTTTTTCAGGAGGCAACTGGACCTCCTTGTTTGTTTTTTTCTTTGAAGACATTTCACTTCTCATCCAAGAAGCTTCTTCAGCTCTGACAGGATAGCGCGGAATGGAAGTACAAGTAAAGCCGCCATTAAGTGAGGGTTACCTGTGTTCATATGAGGCACTGGCAACATAATAGCAGCAAGGGCGGAAGGGAAAAGATTGGAGGTGAGCAGATCTGTGGAGTACAGTGCAATGAGCCGTCAAGGGCAACTCAGGGATGGGAAGGAAAGTATTGAGAAGATTAATGAAGGAGCAAGAGGGAAAAGGAGTTATACAGGCTTCATGATCAGCAGCAGTTTCAGGGAGGAAGGAAGGAGATAGGAAGACTAAGGGACAAGCGGATTACAGTATGCAGGTAGTCCTCGACTTATCACCACAATGAGCCCCCAAATTTCTGTTGCTAAGTGAGTCATTGAAGGGAATTTTGCCCCCTTTTGCAACCTTTCTTGCCACAATTGTTAAGTGAGTCACTGCAGTGGTTAAGTTAGTAACATGGTTGTTAAAGCAAATCTGGCTCCCTCCATTGACTCTGCTTATCAGAAGTTGCAAAAGGTGACTCACAAAGACCCCGGGACGCTGCAACTGTCCCAAATATGAACCGGTTGCCAAAGTGCCTGTATTTTGATCACCTGACCATGAGGATGTTGCAGCGGTCGGAAGGGTGAAAACAGTCACGTGCCACCGTAACTTTGAACGGGTCACGAAATGAACTGTTGTAAGTCGAGGACTACCTGTACCATTCTAGGGATGCAGCCCCCTGCGATGGCAACAGAAGGATTGACACACACACTACCTCTAACATTCGCTCCTTATCAGCCACTACTTGGCTTTTTCCTCAATGTACCCCCAATCAATTTTTGACTGTGTCTTGTTTTTATTCTTTGTATGATGTTCTATATTGTAGTTTACTGTCCAAAGTTCAGAGTTTTAAGATGAGCAGCCATATAAACACTGAAATAAATCACACCTGCCCTCAACAGCCTCATTTGTTTCACCACCTGAAAATGTTCCACCAGTGGACAGTTTACATGTCCCTAAAAGTTAGGTAACCTTTTCTGACACGTTAATAATCCCTGAAGCCTTAATTATGCAAACCTGGGGAGAAATAACAATAGTCATTTGTCTTCATTTAATGAATATTGCTTGAATAAATGATAATTGGCTGGCTTCATAAATCACATGAAGCTACAACTAAATACCTGGACTTTCGTATTGTTGTACCTTGGCATCTTGCATTCTCAAACCGTGACCCATCAAAACCGCGCTCGACTAAGCCGCGCCCGATTAAACCGCGTCGCTGATGTCATCAACAGGGCGACAACAG